AAATATAATTTCCCCAATTTGTTATTGGATTATGTTAATGAGTCATCTTATTCTTATATCTACATAGATGTATACGAACGAAAAAAGAACTAAATATATTTTCTTTTTTTCTATTTGACAGACAGCAAATGTATTATGTTCTGTTCTTCCCGTCTCAATGAGTAATATTTATTTTTAATTATGTTCATTCGTTTTTTTTATTAACTGTAATTGAACGTAAATAACAAAGTAAGAAATAAGTCCTTGACCTTTATTTAATTAAGTGCTATATTTATTTGATTAGTGGGTATATTTACACCTGTAAATCTTGTTCAAAAATAATTTGAACAAATGAACATATTATTAATATAATACTTGAAAATGTCAAATATTCTAGATTAATGCCCTTTTATTGTGACTGATCTTGTCGTTGAAAAATAAACAAAACAAACAGATATTTATTCATTGATATCTTTATCCTTCTTTCCTTACAGTCATTTTCTTTGATTTAGCTCGAATAAGAAAGGCACTGGTAATTTGAGGAAAGGTCATTTTGATTGTTATTTAGAATGTAGTTACTTATATCAGACATATCAATTATGATTGATATCCACTTTGCATGTCTGCTGTTCATCAAAGGTTTATAGATTGATGTCTGTTAACTATTGTTTCCTATGATCGATTTTTCTTATAAATCCAACAAAATATTTTCTATTATTTTTCCTTTCCCTACTATTAATATTTTGATGATAATTCTTCCATCTGTTACTGCTGCGACACAGTTAAAAGGAGCATAAAAACATATTAAAAAAGAAACCATGTCTATCTCCTCATATTCCCATATATGCTTTCTCTCTCTCTGTCTCTCTATTTTTTTTTATCTTCTATCAAGGAGAAAAACCTCAATAATACTTATATGACTCGACGAATTATGTAATTAAAGATAATATACACCACCTTCTGCGCCAACTATTTATTGGTTTTATCATATGTATATTACATATGACCTTTATTAAATTTTTTTGTCATGTTCTTTTTCAGAATATATATTTATGTAGATATTTGTGTATATTGTTGAATCTTAATTATTCTGTATATATAAAATGAGTCAAGACGATATCCTTCAGTCAACCAAATCAGTTATTCAAGGTCTTGATGCTCTCAAGAATGAACATGGAAAAATGCTTGAAACTATTGTTACTTCTCCACAAAAACTATCACCTATGGAAACAAATAAATTAGAAGAAAAAGTTGGTTTACTTAGAAAATCAATGGATATGATCGAATTAGGTATGTCAATGAAAATAAATAAATAAATGAAAATTATAAATTTTTTAAAATCAATTCAAATAGGAATTGGTGAAGCACAAGTAATGATGCAATTAGGTAATCATTTACAAAATTTAGAAGCCGAAAAACATAAATTACGTACACAAGTTAAACGTTTATGTCAAGAAAATGCTTGGTTACGTGATGAATTAGCATCAACACAAAAAAAATTACATGAATGTGAACAAACAAATGCTTCTCATTCGGTTGAAATTGAACATTTAAAATTTCTCAAAGAAGTTAAACAATATGATGTTGATAATGAAAATTCCAATTCACAATCAACATCAGGATTAAATTCAAATAATTCAAATCAACAGAATAATGGACAAGATCTTGTTAATGATTTATTTCCATCCGATGATATGGATAATGGACAAGATATTTATGGTGATCAACAAGATATTGGTGGAGGTAATCAACAAGATCATTCAAGAAAATTTGGTTCATATGCTGATCTATTAATGTCATCATCACAATCAGCTACTGGTTCATTTATTTCTACAACTGGATATGAAATACCAGCAAGATTAAAAACATTACATAATCTTGTTATACAATATGCGTCACAAGGTCGATATGAAGTAGCTGTACCTCTATGTCGACAGGCACTTGAAGATCTTGAAAAAACTTCAGGACATCAACGTACGTAAAAATATTTGTCTTTCGATAAATTATCAGGAAAGACATTGATATATTAACTTGTCATTATGCTTGTTATCAGTAGACCTAATTCTAGGCAGCATGAAATTACCGAGAAGAGTAACAAATTCAGAGAATCTGATAGTTTCAAAACAAGTGAAGATTTTACTAATTATAGTTGTTATTTTTCATGAAAATTTGCAAGCTACTGCTTTAATCATTAGGAGAATAATTATAAGTATATGAAAAGATATACTATCTATATAATAATTATAAACGAAAGGGTGGATTTAACTAAACATGCCATTGAGACTAAATTCATTCCATAAATCTTTAGTAATTAAAACTTGTTTAGTTTTTTCACTAATATTACAAAGAGAATGTTATTGCGTGATGAAAATTATTTTATGTTCGTAATAGCCGTCTGGTATTTGTATAATAAAAAAACTATTTTCATAGTACCAGTAAAGAACTTCGTTTATTTAATCATGCATAGAATAATGAGTTAGCACGTTTCTATTATATTTCTTACGATAAATGAATTACTCATTGAAAATAATTATATTTTTGACGACAATTGTATTATAAAAAATATTCCCATGTGAATATTTTATTTATTTAATTTTTCTTCTAGATCCTGACGTTGCAACAATGCTCAATATTCTTGCACTTGTATATCGAGATCAATCGAAATTTAAAGAAGCAAGTGCATTATTAAATGATGCATTAGCTATTCGAGAAAAAACACTTGGACCTGATCATCCAGCTGTAGCAGCGACATTGAATAATCTTGCTGTTCTCTATGGTATATTATTATTTTTAATTTATAAATATAAAAGAAAATGGAATCCTCCTTTGGTTTCTTATCATTTCTAGGTAAACGTAATAAATTTAAAGAAGCTGAACCACTTTGTAAACGAGCTTTAGAAATTCGTGAGAAATGCTTAGGTTCGTCACATCCTGATGTTGCTAAACAACTTAATAATCTTGCATTACTCTGTCAAAATCAGGGTAAATATGATGAAGTTGAATCATATTACAAACGAGCTATTGACATCTATACAAAAAGTTTGGGTCCAGATGATCCAAATGTTGCTAAAACAAAAAATAATCTTGCATCAGCTTATCTTAAACAACAAAAATATAAAGATGCTGAACAATTATATAAAGATGTATTAACACGTGCACATGAAAAAGAATTTGGATCATCTCCACAAGATTTATCAACATCAACAACAGCAAGTGGTGGATCTTATGATGCACAAGGTGGATGGTATAAAACGATTCGTGCTGATACACCAACTGTAACAACAACATTGAAAAATCTTAGTTTATTATATCGAAGACAAGGACGTTATGAAGCTGCTGATAAATTAGAAAATTGTGCATCACGAGCTCGAAAAGATCCACAAGCAATTATTCAAGCACTTAATATAATTAAACAAACCAATAATTTATCATAAAAAATAAATAAATAAAGAAAATCCTTCTTATTTTTATTCTAACAGTGAAATGTTTTATTCTATTCTCAATTTGTTTTTGTGTCATTTATTGTTGTTAATGTCTCATGCATCTCTCTCTTTTTATTTATGTTGTAGTCGTTTAATAATCTCATTTCATTTTTCTTAGATGAAAGCTGTAAGCTGTGGCATTATAAAAAAGACAAGAACAAATTTCATTTTTTTGACAATATTCTGTATTTACATATATTTATGAATATATAATAAAAATAAAATAATAATAATTATTATTAATCGTCATTCCGTTTTAGATTGATTAAGAAAAGAAAAGGAAAAAAACATCTGATCAAAAACTAATAGACAACTAAGAAGTGAGAGAAAGATAAGAAATACCAAAAGATAAGTAATATATATATAAAAAAATCAATTGTAGACGACTAAAATGGGTGATGAATATTGGGGTACATCGTCGGTTACAAAAAAAGTTAATCAACAAAAAATATTCGATATCGATGGTACTAATACACTTGATGTAAGTTCTATTTTCAAATACGCAAATTTTTGTTTTATTTTGTGCTATAAATTAAATCTTAAAAATAAAATCTAGCGCTTTAAAAATCGCTCGGATCCATTGATCGTAAGTTATACTATTCGTTTCGTTCGTCTAATCACTGCTGTGGTGTATTTTTCTTTACAACAACTAAGGCTTTTTCTATTAAAACTAACTTCTTTATCACTATGTTTATTTTATCACTTTTTATCAAACATTTTTCTAAATTACCTCATTTTCCTTTGAACAATTCCATAGGAACAAATTCTTGATTCAAGTCGTTCTACACAAGTAGTAAATACAACAGGAGTAAAATCAGCACGATTCCGTCCATCAGAAACAACAACAACATCAGCAGCACCAATAATAAATAATCCGCCGAAAAGCACAGCAACAAAAATAATACCAGATACGCAACCGAAAATAACTATTCCTGCATCACAAGTATCACGTCCTTTTGATCAACCTACTGAATGTAAGCAGAACTATACATATAAAAATGCGTGAGAATATTTTTCTTCCATTCTTTCTAACCTTTTTTTGATGAGAACAAGAATGCGATAATAAAAAGAGAACGAAATATAACAACTGACGTTTATTGTCTATTCGAGCATCGATCTATCAAAAAAAGAAAGTCAGCAGCATTCGATAGAAGACATAAACAAACAAATAAGTAAAAATGAATAGTCTAAGTCCGAAAGCATTAAAAAAATCTCAGAATTTATTACGTAAAGTTGGTCAAAAAGTTGAACAAACTTTTAATCTTACTAATTCAAATGTATTTCATGGTTCATTATCATCATTAAATGATTTACCTGATAGTTATTATCATAGAGAATCAGGAGATGATAAATATGACCATGATGATACAGTTTCATTACAAAATCTTCCTGAATATAATCCTGACTCTCCCAAACTAAAACTTCGAAAGAAATATGGTAAAATAAAATTAAAATTCAATAAACACATTTTTATTTATTCTAGCTGCACGATTCGGTCGACCACAAGCTGCAACATCATCAAATGATTTTCATTCGAATTTACATTGGCAACCAAATGCAGAAGACTATCGTATATATTTAATATTAAATATTGATAAATAAGCCAATTAGACACGTTTTAATTTTTAGCGGATCAAACTATCAAAGATCGAAGTACACAATATGATAAAGAGATGGAAATGCGTTGTAAAGATTTACTAGAAAATAAAGTAAATTAACAAAAATACTACTTGTATTATTTATTAATATCTATAACTTTAGACTGTTAAATTAGACGATATTCGAGAATATGATAAAAAAGTATCATTATTAAGAAAGGCGGTTTCATTCAATACACCAAGTGTTACTGTTCCAGTATATTTCTCTTCTTTTTTTTCTCTTCTTCGTCATTTAATTTGCTCATATTTTAGGTTATGATTTTTCTTGAAAATAGCTTATCAAGACCTTTGTTTTATGAATTAATTAAACAACATCCATCAGCTGTAAGAAATTATATAAATATGGCAAAATTAAGACTTGAAAATGATTATTATATAGCAATGCTAAAGTAAATTTAATAAAATATTTTCTATTATTTCTTATTTATCTAAATAGACAATTTGGTCGACATGAAGATGTAGCAGTAAGTAAAATAAATTGACTTTTAATATTTATATATTTATTATGTAAGATGCTACGTCTTCGACAAGTAAGTCAAACAAGTGATATTCAAACTAAAATGGCAATATTAGATCAAGCAATGACGTATGTTTTGATATTTATTAAAATATAAGATGATTGAAGTATTTATTTTAGTGAACTTGGATCACATCCATGGTGGCATTTACAAGTTGTAGAACAGCGACTTTTACTTACTAAACAGCGTGAATTACAAACTGTAAAATAGAATTTTTTTATATTGATATTTTATTTAATTATTTTATTTAGTCACAAAATAATCGAACAGTACTTGAAACATATAAAACATTATATGAAACAGATTTTCGACGACAAAAACAAAGTCGAATGACGGATAAAATAGTAATAGATTTATTTTAATATATTCTATTATTTTATTTTATTCTATAGACAAATGATCGAAGTAAAGAATTTGAAACAACTTTTCATGTAAAATTTATTCTTGTTTTGTCCTAAAAACATAATTCATTTTATTCTTTGAAGATGTCTCCGGAATTAATTATGTGTGGTAAATTATCTGTGATAATGCATTGTGATCTACGAACACATTATGATGATTTTATTCATCAAGCAATCCATCAAGTAATTAGATGAAATTAATAAGAAGTTTTCTTTTTTAATATTTACTTTATTTAGGGAATTTTTGGAAAAAAGTATATTATTGCACCAGAATATCTTGCTGATATGGTTCATAATTGGGTCCAATACACTGGTGAAGGACAAGATAAAGCTAGTGAAAAAACTGAAAGATTCCTTACAATGATTCCCGATCCAAATAAACGTATTTATTTTGCGGAAAAATTTCTAAATTATGATGTCGCAATAGATGTAAGTTATAAATAAATGTATTTTCTCTGAGTCTTATGTATTTCTCATTAGACGATTGTTAATATTCTTCGTGATCGAGTACAATTAGAAATTTTACGTCGACGTATGCCACATGATCATCCATCATATAATCGAGCTACAACACTTTTAGAAGTAAGAAGAATACTAAAAATTGATTTAATCTATTTAAGTTTATTTTTATAGAATACAAAATGGCGGAATTAATGAAATTTGTAGAATAACCGTCGTTTTGTTGTCAGATGATCATATTTTATTTGATTTAGTTCTTTTAAATTCCACTCTGTAATTAATTACATAAAAATCCAGATCACTTTTATCTCCTTGAAACTATGAATGTAATACATAAGAAACGATATAATCAAAAAAAAAACAAAATGAACTAAAAGTTTAATAATGATTTTAAAGAAAAAAACTATTGAATATCAAAATAAATTATATAATTATAGTTCATTATTTATTTGTTGTTTTTTTAAGTTTTTGTAGCTGAACCAATACGTGATGTAGAGGAAGTAATTTCAACTGGTGTATTTTCTTCAGTAATCGTTTTGTTAAGTGCTGAAGATGGACGTCCGATAATTGGTTGTGTTATATTAGAATCATTTGTATTGAACAGAACTGACGTATTCTGTTGTTGAATATTAGAGTCATTTAAAGTATTTTCTTCGTGTTTTTGAGTTGCGGATGGTGGTCTTGATCTTGGTCGAATAGCTGTAGAATCATTTTCAGTTGTTACATCTGTTTTTTGATTTGCTGATGATGGTCGTACCACATTTATCGAAGCAGTACTATTAGAAGCATCGCTTAATGTCGTTATATCTGTATTTTGACTAGCAGATGATGGTCTAGAACTTATTGGAACAACAGCTGGCTTGTCATCTTTTAATTCAGTGAATTTTTGATTAGCTGATGTAGGTCTTGAATTTGTTAAGGCATCTGTTTTTTGTCTTGCTGATGGTGGTCTTGAACTTGTTGAAATATTTGTAGTTAAATCATATGTGTGTGATTCATCAAATGTTTGCTTTGCTGATGATGGTCGTGAACTTGAAGTAGTTGTCACTTCATTTATTTTTTGACTAGCAGATGCTGGTCTGGAATTTGTTGAAACGATAGTATATTCATGCGAAGCTAAATCATCTGTTTTTGAATTAGCTGATGGTGGTCTTGAATTTGAATCATTTGTTTTTTGTTTTGCTGATGTTGGTCGTGAACTTGAAATAGTTGTCACTTCGTTTATTTTTTGACTGGCTGATGACGGTCTGGAATTTGTTGAAACATTTGCAGTTAAATCGTTTGTGTGTGATTCATCAAATGTTTGCTTTGCTGAAGATGGTCGTGAACTTGAAGTAGTTGTCAGTTCGTTTATTTTTTGACTAGCAGATGGTGGTCTAGAATTTGTTGAAGCAATAATGCATCCATGCGAAGCTAAATCATCTGTTTTTTGTTTTGCTGATGACGGTCGTGAATTTGAAATAGTTGTCACTTCATTTATTTTTTGACTAGCGGATGGTGGTCTTGAACTTGTTGAAATATTCGTCGTTAAATCGTTTGTGTGTGATTCATCAAATGTTTGCTTTGCTGATGATGGTCGTGAACCTGAAGTAGTTGTCACTTCATTTATTTTTTGACTAGCAGATGCTGGTCTTGAATTTGTCAAAGCAATAGTATATTCATGCGAAGCTAAATCATCTATTTTTTGACTAGCTGATGGTGGTCTTGACGTTTTTGGTTCAGTAGTTGTTGAATCAGAAATAGAATTAAGAGTAGGATCGAGTTTTGCGGCTGATGATGGACGAATAATTGTATCTTGAGACATATTTTCTAATACAGATTTAGATTGAAATATGTCGGATGTATCTGCTGACGATTGTGGACGTTCAGATAAATTTGTTGTCGGTAAAAATGGTTCTTCATGTTCGGCAGAAGGAGCATTAGGTGTTATACCTGCTCCAGAAGCAGCAATTAGTGGTGCTGTTGATGTATCTGCTGCAGTTTTTTGTAATGCAGATGGTGGTCGAGATGTTTTTTGTGTAGATATTTCTTCTTTCTCTTTTGTATTTGCTGATTGAGGTCGTGATGAAGATACATCAGCAGCAGCAGCAGTAGTAGTAGTTATTGACGACATACTATACAAAGAAGACAGTATCAGAAGTAAAGAAAATGAGTAAAGAACATAATGAAAAGACTCTTCTGGCTATTGTAACGTTATTTATTTGCTTAAAAGATTTTGAACTGCTTCGGTTTACATAAGAAATGAATGAGTAACTAATTCCGCTTCGCAATACTATACAAAAAATATATATGAAAAAGAAATTGATTTTTTTTCTACCTACAGTCATCAATTTTATGTGTATGTAAAGAAAAATACATTGTTTGAAATCTATATACTCATATAATCAAATTTCAAGGTTACACTCTCTACTCTACCATCAATTATAATGATGTTTCATCGTAAACATTTTTTTTTCTTTCTATGAAAGACTATAGACAAAAAAGTTGTTTTATCACGTATTTGATTCATTAACTTCAGTCTTACAAAAAAAAAATAATCTAACAATTCCATACTGCATTCAAGGTAGATTCTATGTTCAAAGAAGTAGAAGTAAATAAGTCTACATGCTCTTGATAGACAATGAGAAAAGAACATTTATGATATTTCTTTTTCATTATATGAAGCATCATAGGAAGAGTTATGTCTAAAAATGAATATCAATTAATTAATCGACAATGAATTATCAATAAAAATCTTGTCCTAAATATATACTATTATTGAATGTTTTAATTAGAACCTACCGTCTTCGTTTTGATATTTTTATATAGTACAAATCTATCGAACAGGTGTTACCTAGAACTTAACATACTTTGCTCTCTATAAACTCATTTAGGTGGTAAAAATAATCAAGTATTTATGATCTTAATCGATACTCTTGAAATCTCAATAAAAATGCATTAACTGGTCTATAACAATTTGAATTCGTTAGCTATAAAAAATGCTCTTGAAGAACATCTTCATTGAGGAATTTATAATGTCTAACAAATATCGTATTCTCAATAAAAGGTTCGTATGTCTATTATAATGTTTCAGGTTTTTCTTCTTATAACTTAGTATAAAGGAAATTGTTTCATATAATATTTATTATTCTATATGAGTGTGACACTTAATGAAAGATGAGAAACATGATGAAAGCATCGCAAATGAATTCTTTTTATACGTTTTAGTAATGTTGTGTAAACTACTGTTTTATCACATCATTCAGCTAATATTAATATATGTCTAATCCTACAATGGTGGGACTAATATTTTAATAATGGAAGCAAAACTTTTAATGAAAATAAGTATAATAATAGCGCTTACCTTTCGTTTTGAACTTTGAATAAAGATTATGTCAAAAGGCAAATTTTGCAGTTCTTTAGCAAGCTAATATCACCTGTATAAGAATATTCTTTAATTGATGATATATATATATATCAACCAGCAAGTACTTTATGTTTTCAAGATTATCGATTAAAAGATCGTAAAAGTTTGTTATCAGTAAGTACATCGATTTCATATGTTGACGTCAAGATCAGAACAAATATCGAATACGATTTAACTCAAAATAATCAGCCTTTATTTTCATATGAAGAAAAGATTTCCATTATTTTTAATCTTCATAAACTATTAAATATTGTACTATCTCACTATCATTCAGAAAAAAAATCAATAGGAACGAATGAATCAAATTTTATACATATTAAATATTCTACAGTAAGTCAATATTGATAATATAACATGTATAACAGTATTCTTTACCTAGTGGAATAGATATTTTTTTTATAAAACTAGCGCAACGGAAGTAAATTCTAAATATGCGCTCTTATCTAATTAGAGACTGTTTTTATTAACATCAAAGTATTTTAAAAATAGTATTAAACCATATTATTCATTATGAATTTCTTAATCAATATCATTAGTACGCATTAAAAGATTTAAATGACAGATATCTTAATCTTTGTATTGCTAAAAAGATTGATGAATATTATCTTAATTTAGATTATTAACTCACACGAATACTGATACTACGTTTTAAAAATATACATTTATTGTCTATTTATTATTAAGAATCTTTAATACGTGATGTTGCTTCTAATTTTCGAAATTCAAATACATCTGTTAATTTCATACATTCTTCAATATTTTCAACTCCAGCATATGGTGTTTCATCTTTTAAACACATTGCTGCAACACAAACAGCACATATTAATCGTTTTTGAATAGGCCATTTTTGATAGAGTCCATAAATAATACCAGCAGCAAATGCATCTCCAGCTCCTACAGCACCTTTAATAAATCCATTAGGTAAACAAAGTGAACCTTGTATAAAACATTCAAAATTTGAATTATTTTCACGACTAACACAAACAGCACCATGATCAAAATGAATTGTCACTGATCGTTGTACACCATATTTTTCCATTAATATTCTTCCTGCTTGTTCAATTTGTGAAATAGTTACTTGTTCAAATGTTTGATTAAGAATAAATCCTGCTTCAATTTCATTTATTATTAAATGATCAACATAAGGTAATGTAAATAATGCAATTTTTGAATAGAAAATATTATGTCCCGTAACAAAATCAACAATAGTCTCGAAACCATATTCTTTTGCTTGTTTAAGAACTTTTCCTGCAATTGTTTCATTATCAATAAAACGATCTAATTCATTAAGTATTGTTAAATAACCAAGATAAAATAAATTATAAGATTTTTTATTTACAAAATAATTAAAATCAAAATGAATATCAGTCAATAATGCATTTGTACCACGTTGATTAAAAAATGTTCGTCGACCTGTTGATTCAACACTAATTACATATGTATACGATGTTGGTGTATTATCTTTAGTTATATGTAATTGATTAATATCAATATTAGATTTTCTACAATCATTTATTAACCATTGACCATTATCATCATTTCCTAATAGACCAACGATTGCTAATGGTAGATTTATATCCATTGCACGTAGATCTTTAACAATATTAAACGGACCGCCGCCACCTGTTTTTATTTCACAATGAATATTTGATAAAGAATTTTCTAACGGCCATCGATCAACAATGACAACTTTGTCTATAACTATTGTACCAGCACAGACAACACCTCCTTTGTTCGACATGATTTTAATTTAATGTGAAAGTTACATGTTGACCATAAATAGATAAGATAAGATGAATTATTTATTTATAGCTTTTTTAAAATGAGAGTCTTTTTAAAAAAAAAGTGATAAAATATTTATTAATTAATTTTTTCGAATTATTTTATTATAGTTTGACCTTTTCCATTCAAACAAGAAATTAATGTCAATGATACTTCTTTCAGAACATCGCTTTAGTTTCGCATTCATAATTATCTCAACAATTTGTTGATAACGTTCTAATGTGAATAGTCTATTGTTTGATAAATCGTTCTTTAAGTTGTACGTTGAATTACGTTTTTTCATTGACTGTTATCATTTGTACTTGTCATCAAGGATGATGACATTCATACACCCATCATATTGATCGAGTATTGATAGTAAATCATGAGTAAACAGAAAATATATGTTTTATTCGAGAAAAATCACAGAGCATATCACATATCTTTGAATAATATCGATCACGCCATTACGGTATATCCCAAACGATGTAATACGTACGATAAAATGACGCATAGAGTAATCATCAAGGACAAATCCAAGTATATATGACGTATTAAGAACGAAATGAAAATACAATCAGTAAATATTACTTCCACTTTTGTGAAAAGAACTAGGATATGACATTTATATATGATAAATAAGACTAAGAGTGTTTGAAGTCATAGTTTACATTCTAAAAAAGTAAATGTCATACATAAATAACTAAGCAAGATAACATTTAACATGAAAATCAAAATATTGCATAGATCTAATCTATTTTTTCCCTTCATATCTGATGTATTTTCTCATGCTAAAGATAATTCGAAACGTATCTACTTATGAATCTAAAAATAATTACAATTTATTCGTACATTATCTTCTAAGTAAATCTACTTTCGTTAATTGTGCTCTCGAAAGTAAGATTAAACTAGCCTTCCTGCTGAGAATTCATTTACCGTTTACATAAAGGAAACGTTGAAATATTTATATCAACGAAAATCATCTATAGGACAACATCAAACAAATAAAATACAATAGATTAACATCTATTTATATCCAATTCGACAAATCAACATTTATACGATAAACGAACAGAAGAAAGGAAAAATTTTGAACTGTACACATAATAAACGAGACATTTATGACGATGAGTAAATTTTCTTTTTAAATAAGCAAATAAAAGACTCGAGAAAAAAAATGAGAATCAAATAAAAATAGATCAAAAGTTCTTTTTTTATGTTTATTTATTTTAATTTTGAATTAAACCAATGTTCGTTTATCGTTTGATAAATGTATATCATCACTTTCAACGACAACATATGCTGTACCATCTGGAGCATGTACAGCATGATAATGATCGTCGTCTGATGGTGCTTGTTGATATGATGCATCATAGATTGGTAATTTCGACTAAAACAAATTTACAAAATATTATTATATATAGAATAAAACAAAAACAAAAAGAATTAATTACATCCGAACGATGTTTCATACGTCGTTGGCAGATCTATGAAAAAAAAAATGAAAGATTAAATAAATCATTAAGGAAAAGAAGTGATAAACTTACATGAATATAAGTAATGCCAATAATCAATGCAATTAATATAAATAAGAAACCAAGTAAACAAATTGCTAATTTCGTACTTGTACGTGTGAAAGATTTTAATTTTTCACTTACTCTTTCAAGAGCAGTTTTAGATGGACGTATATATCCACCGGCTCCTATTTTTTGTGCAACAGCTGGTAAAACAGAACGAAATTCATAGGAATTTAACTAAATAGAAAAACAATAGAGAAATATTTTTGTTTTTTTGTTTTGTAATTACATCAGCATCGATTTCATCCATTTTTCTTTGAAATTCTGCCATATTTTCAGTAAAAAATGGCATAATTTGAAATGAAGTTAAACCATTGAGTTCAACTGATGAAACAGTTATTTGTGTAGGTACTAAATGATATTTTGCTGCAACATTATTTATGAAACCACTGAATAAAAATTAAATTCATTTTTATACGAAAAAATTACAAAAACAAAGAAATTTTTACTTTCTAAATAATTGAAGAAATTTTTGATCGTTATACATATCGCTTTCGATATCAAATTCAAAAACAAACCAATTGACTCTATCCGGATCAACTAAAATATTGATTTTATTAATAAATACATCAAATTTTTCATATATTTTTCTTTACCTTTTTCACATAATTTGATATTTAAATTACATACACGTGTACCTGTACATGGAATTCGCTATAATATTTATTAAAATAATAATTTAAATAATAAATCTATTTTGTAAAAAATATTACCTCATTACATTGAATTTTCTCTGCAACTGGAGTCCAATCACATTCACACATTTCACATCCATCTTCATTTCGTCGAAAACCATACATACAATACATTCGACATAATTGTAATTGACATTTATTACATGAACACATTTTGCAACCTGATTCATCAACTTGTAAACCATTTTTACAGGTCAAATTACAGTCTAATGATGGACATTTATCATCATCTTTATCTTGTTGTTCATCACATGAACATGTTGGACATCCATTAGCATCTTTTTTCAAACCATTTGTGCATTGATTAGTTGAAGTTGGACATACTAATGCTGGACATTCACAATCACATGTTTGACAACCTTCAATCACAAGAAGAAGAAGAAAAAAAATCTTATATAATATTTAATAATATTCAATCATACCACTATAATCTTTTCGATAACCATTTGGACATGAACGTTCACAATTTACTGGTGAGCATTGTACTGGTAATTCATTACATGCACAATATTCGCATCCATTTTCGTCACGTTTAAATCCATTTTTACAAAACATACGACACATTAAACGTGAACATTGAATATTTTCTTTAGATACGCATTTACATGTCTGACAACCATTTTCATCTACTTGATAACCAGCATCACCACAATTTGCACGACATTTTATTTGTGGACATATCGGAATTTGTTTTTCTTCTGTTGAAACACATGCACATGTTGGACAACCTTTTTCATCTAATAAATAATTTCCATTTGGACATTGAAGGTTACATGTATTAGCTAAATCATTGTTACATTCTATATTGAATGTTGGCACTAAATAAAATAAAATTGATATTAAAATTTGAATAAAATAAATAGTTTTTTTTTCGAACCAAATACTGGCTGTGAATAACCGTAGATCTGAGCAAAGATCTGAATAAGCAATATGCTTTTCAGAGTATAATCCATATGACTAATTATTCAAATATACTCGCAAAATTATTTGTTGTTGTGTTGATCACAAAACGCAATACTATGAAATATGTTCGTTACTACTGATGAGTGAGGGCGACGAAGCAATCAAATGCTTATATGTGCACACTGGCAGAACAAACAGAAAGTAAAAAAAGTTGTAAAAGAATATATGACAGTATTCTCCTTTTTTTCCTCTAATTTTTTTGTGCTCTCCTCCTTTTTCGCCCTTATGTCTACCGGCATTGCAGTTCACCCGTTTTTTTTTCTTCTTTTCTCTCTCTCCGTCGAATAAGTATTGCGAAAGAAAAAAAAGAAAGTTTGCGCTAAAAGCCATACGCATAAATATAATGAAAAAAAAAGAAAAACTTATTCATCGAAACAAGAAAGGTGATGTCAATAATGATATTTTTCTGTTTTCTAACCTATTTTACCTATATTTTTCAATCCATCATCAATAAATCGATATATTTATATATATATATCACATCATGACTTCTTTATAAATGAATCAAAACTTCATGTACTTTTTACCGACACTGCAGCAGATTTTTTCCTTTCTCTTTCTCTATATAAAAAATTAAAGTAGAAAATGATGTGCTATACAAATACTATTAATATGACTATATAATTGTCTATATAGAAGCGGTCAAGAACATGCTTAAAAAAGAAAAGAATACCTGCTTGACATATAGGCACATTGCGTGAATCACTTAGGCATCGGAAACCTGGTGGACAATGAATATCCTCCTAATAAATATAATTAAATTGTAAACAAAAAAAAGAAATATTTGATTATTTAATTAAATATACTTGACATGAAGATCTATTTTCATTTGATTTAATTTTTGATAATGCACATTGACATAATGGGCAGCCATTTTTTGATTGTGCAAAACCAATGTCAGATGGACAAAAAATATTACAAGTAAATGGTGGACATTGATCATTACATTCACATATATTACAACCAAATAGATCTTTTAAATAACCTGATGGACAATTTTTATTACATTGATCCATCGTTGGGCATGATTGACATTCACATGTGAGACAACCATTTGAATCCGTTCGATACCCAAGACGACAATTAAGTGAACATGCAAATGATACTGAACATATTGAAGATTGAGCTAGAATAAGAAGATAATTATTTATTATCCTTGATAATAAAGATAGAAAACTACATAATCGAAATTTTTATTAGTATATTCTCTGATGATTTTAATCAATTAAAAAAATTCCCTAGAGTTTCTCAATGAAATGCTAAGAAAAGAAATGAACGGAACTCGCCTTAAATATAAAACAAAAATGATTAATTCATTTAAGAATAAAATTAATTTTTTATGAAATATAATACATCTGACTGACTTTTATCGTTCAATAATTTTGAAAGAACTACATAAATTTTTAATTCTACTTAAAATGACTTTATTCCTATAAATAACAATTATCATGTTTTCTTTTTGTTATTTAGACCTTTTTGTATTTTCACATGTTTAAAAGCAACCATTAACAAAATTCATGGTCTAAATCTATTTATATAATTTAATTTCCATGTCCTTAATAAACCATTGACTGTGTTACATAGTTATTATTCTCAAGTATAACCATGTAACCTTGCTAGATAGACCTTTTCCTTTTCTACTTAATAATAAAATAATATTAATAAAAAAACAAAATATAATATTTTTGTTATTGTAAAACGACAATGATTCTTCTATTAACATAACAAAGTAATCATTCACTTACTTTTAATAGGTATGTTACACATACGTCTTCCACATGCTGCTTCACAACATTTCAAATCTCCAGGGCAATCCGTATCAAAACGACATTCAGGTGGAATTAATTTTTCTGTATCGCATTTACCAATAGCTTCAACGACTTTTGGACAATTACCCAATTTACGTATCGATTGTGTACGATTAACAATTGTATCTAATGATTCAGTATAATCATCTAAATATTCATCATCTTCATCTAAATCAGTTTTATCTGATGTTTCATCTTCATCATATTCGTAATATTCATCATAAGACGATTCATCATATGTTATATTTGATTTAAAATCATGATTATCAACTAAAATTTTTGATTCATTTGATTTAACTGATAAATGAGAAACTAATGATAATTGTTGAGTATATATTGAACTATTTTTTAAAATACAATGAACACATTTTAATACATCATCGTCATGTGTACAATTTGGATTTGTATAACAAATCTCTGTCGTTAAATTACATTGAAGAATCTAAATTTAAAATAAATAAATAAATAAATAAATCAATTCTTTAGTTGTTCTTACCTGACATTGTTTATTAAATTGATCAACATCAGCATAAATTAAACAAACAAACATAAGTATTCCAAGTGAAGTTTTAACATCGAAATTCATTTTCTTATAGAATTTATTTTAACTAAATTTAAAATGATAAATCCATATAATACATTTTGTATGACCCTCACCATACATCAATGTTCAACGTTATAATTGATCACACGAAAAAAAAAATCCTATGTGTCTTTCGCCTTTTTTCCTTCTTTCTCCTTCGATTTTTCAAATCACCTGTCAACACGATTCATCCTATCGGTGAATTACTACATTCATATGCATATCGAAACAATGATAAAGATATATTAAATGCAATATGCACTCCATCGAAACTGAAGCTCATATTTTACATGGCTCAGTTAATATTTTTTTCTTGTTAACATTAACAACTATATAATTTATACGATATATAACAGAATTATAAAAGAAACAAATTTCAATGACATTGAAAAAGAGGCATTATGGTAATGATCAGACATGCATACGTCTATAGTGTTCTAATTGATACATTAGAGGTGTGATTAATTCATAAAACTATTGATATTACTCGATATATATATATATTGTAGAAGAAGAAGAAAGAAGAAATATAAGTATACATATATATTACAAGTACCACTCTATTCTATTGATATCAAACATATGTTAATAAACTTATCTATGAGATGAAATATTTTAGTAAATAAATAAAAACATCTTATTAATGAAAATGATTCAATATTCTTATTATCTAACGGTACTATTTTGTCGTTGATTGATTATACTAATCAGAAGACATACTTTCCTTCCTTTGAAACAATGTTGTCTATGTCATATCATTCTAACACTATGGATATGTATTAATATTATAAACTACATTGTCATACGGCAAGGTCATTCGATTCTATAAGACATTGGCCGTTAGAAGTTGTAATTTTTTTCTTTGACCTTCTTTCTGTGACGAAAGATAGCGACGAGGATGGATGATCATAAACGAACACCAATATGTTATCTTAATCTCTTTCTGTTATTGATCTTGACTCTAAAAGTATAAAACTGAACACAACTGATAGTTATTAGCTAATGAGATTACATCATCTAGTTCGTTACATCTCAAGTATTGTTACTCTTGTAATCTTAAAATATGCTTGAGTGTAATTGACCCATAGAGAATATTAGCCAGAAAATAGATATTATTACTTTATATTTTATGATGGAACTCAATTGTCTACTTTTTCTTTAACTGATCTAGATACGTACCAAAAAAAAAGAAAATTTATGATTATTTGTTAAGTCTTAAACTTGTCATTATACATCACATCATACATATATGCACAGGCCTTTTCAATCAATTTAAAAAAACGTTTGTTGCGAGTGCATCGATGTAGTATGCACATATATATGTACATTGTAAAAGAGACAAAACTCACCTTTCTTCTTCTTCTTCTTCGTTTTTTAAATTGTGTGTCGAAAAAAAGACCGCACACATATAGTACCTATCACATCAAAATTAAATCGATTGAAGACGATGAAACTATGCCGACAGATTCATGTAGTATGTACGAATATAACGCAAAAAGAATAGTAACAGACTACTCAACTGATTTCTTCGCTCTTTGCATTTACCACATAGAAGCGTACAAAATGAAGAAAATAGAAGAGAACAGAACAGAACAGAAGGAAAAGTTAGTATGATAATAAGAATGTTTTATATAACAAGCGTATATAGATATCTCTTAAGTGTATGATATTCAATAACGAATTGCATTCTCATCATATTTTAATTAGTATTCAAGATGTTATATATCTAGAGATATTGAACAAAAGCAAGACTAATTATCATTTGATTCTTATAATAAAATATTTGTTGTTTTTATGCTATGCCTCGTAGAAACTTATATTATCTGTCTGTTGTTGTTCAATCGGAATCTAATTCATAAAACATCATCATTAACATAAATATTTTCTTCGAACAATCTAAACATCATTGCAGCCTAGTAGCAACTATATATATATAAGAAAAGAGCATAGATAATAGAACTATTTTATTTATTCATCCGTCTGATACTTTTATAAGGTGACTGATAAGCAGCTTTTCTCATTAACATATACTTACAAGGTTTTTCATTTACTATTCTATAACAAAATAATTCTTCATTGATACTCATGATAAAAAGTAAACCTTATAATTTCGATATACAAAATCTAGTTCATTTATTCTTATATGTATGTAAATATGATGAATAAATAATTGAACTGAACTATATGAGTTATTTTATAGGTAAATATTAGAAGAAATTATCATTAATGGACTTACATGATTCAAAGATAGTTTAGATTTTGAGTATATCATATATGCGCCTCATCTTTCCGTTGGGAGAAAAAAAAGAAAGAAAGAATGAATGAACATCGGACATAGATATTAAATTAGAATGGTTGAACGAGCAACGCATAGAAGAAATAGTATGCATTTATGTCAACTTGTCATGATCGTGAGAAAAGAAATTGATGTTATAAAAGATAGAATCGACTGGTTTTTTCTTTTATTTTTTGTTGTCGTCCACACATCCGAATAATTACTGCTTTGAGTATTTTTCCCCTAAGATTTTCTTTTTTTTTCCCTTACAATAGCTAATGGAAAATCATATCTTTCTATTCATATATTTTCATTGATTATACAAAATAGTATATATATAGTTTTTTCTCTTTATCACAAAGAATATTAAGAAAGATCTGTTTTTTATGAAAGTCTAATTATAATGACAAAATATTTTCGCGCCTATGTGTTTGACCTTTGAAGAGTTTAGAAGAGATAAGAGCTATTTATCAAGTCATGAATCTTTTTTTTTTCTCATTATATTTTCCTATGATTAGTATAATAGTGTTGTTATTTATCTATGGATATCTTTTATCTTTTGATCTATATAAATACGATGGATGTATAAGTTTCCGCAGAGGGGATGATTAAAAAATTATTAAAGATATCCTTTGTAATTTTTTCTCTGAAAATTTTTAATATTCTTTTATTAAAAATAGAGCCGAAGTGAACTCGTAAAATATTAAATACTATCAATTTCCTTCTTGTCTTAAAAATGAATATACGTAAATATAAAAGAGGAACAGAATATTTGAGTTCTTCAGGCATAAAACTACGATTCAATTGACTTGTCAAAAAAAAGCGTTTTGTATTCGTAAATCTTGTCAACGATATAGATGTACGCATTGATTTTGTCAATAAACAGATGAAATGAAACATATACTATTATGTTTTTATGATTAATCATAAACATTTTCTCATAAAATATGCAATATATAAGTATGACTTTATAATGGACAAGAACAATCGTTACAATGTGGATGAAATCCTAGATATAAGTGTAAATCTGTATCCTAACTCAGTATTTCAATTAATTACATTTGTATGTCATACATGGGTCTTTCAAATAGACATCTATTAAAAAATTCTAATCTAAGGAAGTTTGTCTTTCATGAAAAGAACCACATGATCATTATATATAAAAGGGAAAAACATCTTACAAACATGTTATTATATCTATAAAAATGAAAGAAAAAATTACAATCTGTACCGTGAATAAATTGAAAGTTTTAAAGTCGATTTTTTAGTTATAAAATATTGACGACAAACAGCTTTATACTACATACTACAAACGATTGTGAACATCGAAGTTATTGATGTGACTAAAAGAGAATCAAATCTCATGAGGCTATAACATCGTGCAGTGTTACTACTTGTTTGAAAAAAAATGATTAATGAAACAAATCGTATATGTAAATTACTAGAATAATAAATCAAAATAAATATTGTTTTACTCGTTTACATACTATTTCATAAGTAAACAGAAACCATTCATAATCTTCTTACTCTCAAATGGTACAAAATGTTAAACAACAATTTTTTGTAATCATTAAAAATCTTACCTGTTTGATCTTCACTTTAATAAGTGTAATAAATAAATATCTATTTATATTAAACTTTTATATACACAGAAAGTTTTTTTTATTATTTTATTCAGGCAGTATAATATCTGTTAAAGTTTATAATGAAATTTTGTCATTAGATTTAGGCGATGTGATGTTGTTCATTTTTCTACTTAGATTATTATAATTTGATCAAACTAAAAGGGTCAATATAGTGCATAATAATCTTCTTGAGGGTAAATATATTAGTTAATTAAGTACCTTTGGCATTTTGAAATAATCAGTGAACAACTTCCAGCGACCTCTTCTATTTAAAAATTAGGTTTCAATATTAAACCAATAAGCATACGAATTCCATTTGTTTGTTTTGTTTAAATTAATACAATACGTGTTCATATTGTTACCCTATGTCTTCAATTTGATTCAAGACAAAATATCTTTTTTCTCTTTGAATATAGATCTTATTTAAATTTAAATACTTCCAGATTAAACAATGACTGATTCAAAATATTTTTCAAGTCAACGAAAAGGTAAATTTGAATGATATCAAGAAATATCTATATTGCTTTCACGTATATATGAAGAGTGAAGAACGAGTGAAAAAAAAGACAGAGATACTACCTGGGTAGTTTTTGTGCAAATATGAATAGTAAAATTTCTTTTTTTGTCACACGTTTTTTTCGTTCTCTTTGACTAAATTGGGTGAAAAGAGAGAAAGAAATATTAGAACAGCTGGATGTTTTTTCTCTTGCGTAAAAATAATGGCCAATCTTTCTTCTTCTCCTCCTTCTTTTTTTTTGATAAACGACACATCACTATTCTACTTACTTTTCTTCATTCGTAAAAACTTTCAACCTTATTTGATACTTTTTCCTAATCTTTCTTAATTCTAATATTCTAATATGGACGGGGAAGGCAAAAAAGGTATTTCATCAACTAAGTATTCAAAATTGTATTAATAACTTTTATTAACAATTTTTAGGTGAAATCTATGAGTTGAAAGCTGAATTAAACAGCGATAAACGAGATCGTCGAAAAGAAGCAGTAAAAAAAGTAATTGATATTTTGTACCTAAACTTCTATGAATTATTTGCTTTTATTAGGTTATTGCAAGTATGACAGTTGGTAAAGATGTCAGTCAATTA